GGAAGGGCCCAGTGAGCTGCAGAGCTTGGAGCAGAGGAGGAGTGATACCAGATGGCCAGAAGTGAGAAAGAGGGGGCGTTGAAGTTGGTGAAAGGTAAGAGCAACAACAGCAGACAGAGAGGATGGGAAGCGAGCCTTTGGGTACTAATGAGAAATCAGATTGGCTGAAAGCCTGTAAAGCCATGGTTCAGYTTATCATTTGTAATTTTTTTAAACAGATAATAGCTGTGTGATTTTTATGGATCTTCAGGAATGTATTCCCAATGTTACTCAGGCACTATCTTTTCATTCCRTAGATGTTGTGCTCTCTTTAGAACTTGAGGCTTTCTGCTGATTAATTTAGCAGATGAGACGGTTGGAAGATCTTTCATATATTTGCAACTTTAGCCAAATAGCATTTCTTTTTCCCTARAGACATCAGAACACCATTTCTACAGCCTGGGAAGCAGTATCTCCTGATTTTTATTTTTTTATAACCATTGGCAGCCTGATTTCATCATATACCCAGCTAATACTGTATTTAGCTAGAGCTGCTGCAGCATAATTTTTCATGTATACTAGCATTTCTTTGAGCACTTCTAGRCACAAAGCTCCCCTTTATTTATGGCTTCACACCTTTCTAAAACACCTGATAAAGTGTGTTGTGGATTTCCTGTGATAGGATGCCATGAGAATAGTGTGAATAAACTACAGTGATGCATCACACAATTCAATTTAAGTATACATGTCTTATGAGGAAGTGGCCAGGTTTGTGCAGGTGCAACAGTGAGGAGGCGAGTGCTGCATTTAGTAGGTGTAGTTCATGGATGGTCAGTTGTCATCTGCCTAGTAGGATTCAGGTTGAAGTAATTACCTTTTCATTTCAGATAAGTTACTTCCTGTTGTAGTTGTGCATTAGGAATGGTTCTTACTATTTCATGAACATTATCCAGCTGCTACTGATGAAGAAGAAGCTGAAAAAGCTCACTGTAAAGCACTTTCCCTCTTAGTTTATTGCTTTTGTTGAAAATTCCACTCCTGATTCTTCTTTTACTTATTTGACTGTTACTTACTCCTCTGCAAGTGAAATTCTGCTCATTGTTTATACAGTTCTTCATTATTTAATTCCACCAAAATGGTTTTTAAAGGAAAAAATGTGGGGTTTGTAGGCCTAATATTTGGTTTCACATATCTGGTACTAGAGCAGCACTTCACAAATTGCGTGTTTCATTCTGAGAAATCTGTAGTTTATCAGCTTTCCTCCCTGCAGACCAGACTGCATTTGATTTCAGAGGTCTGTTAAGCCTTCCTGTGCAGCTGGAATCCCTTGGTGGGGAGTAGTGGTGGCTCCCTGAAAGCTCTAAGTTACTTAAGAGTTCACAGCTTACAAAAAATCCAGTGGGCAGCTCTGCTTATGGAAAGGGAAACCAGCAGACAAGCTTGGTGGAGGTCTGGCGGCTCTTGTCTCCAGCAGAGTGAGTTAGCAATTACTTTCAGTATCACAGGTTGTCTTCTGTTGAGCTTGGCCCATCTTCTCTGCTTTCACTTTTTTATTGCCTTCCTTACATTTGAACCTCAGGGAAATGTCCCTAAGTTTTTTCTTTCAGTGGTTCCACCCGAGTAGCTGTGTGAGTCATGAAAACATGGAATGGCTTCCTGCGTGGCTGCCATGGTATCCAGCAGTATTGCTATACACACAGTGCTGATGTAGCAAATGTTTATGGAAAGCTTTTTTGGAGGCTGGGAGGTGTTTCTTTGTCGTGTTACTGACTAAATTTTCTTAGAGCTTAAAAATTAGAGGAACCATGCRGCATGTTGCATAAAATTGTGAGAAAAATAGTCCTGTTTGGGAAGTTTTCTAACATAAATAGAAGTGCACATAAACAGGGCAGAAATCCTTCAGTTACAGTCCCAAATTTGCTTTTTAAGAGGCAAATTTTTAAGAATACATTAAACATATTTCATTAAGTCTGGTAGTGCAATTATAGTTGCAARGGCTGTATCTCTGCAATGGAGTATAAATCTGTGATCTTGTTTGAGTCCTCTACTTGCCACTTGTTTTTTGTTCCCCACYCATTACTTAGGAAGTAGCTTGAATTATTCCTTTCTTAAAAAAAGGAATTGCTCTAATTAAATTTCTATTCAGATTTATATCTTGCAAGTAGTTTTTAGAAAAGAGTATTTCTAGAAGATGTTTTGTGAGTCCAATAAATTGAAAGTTCAAGGTAAGGTTCATGTAACTTAAAAATATAAAGGCTTCTGAAAGAGAAGATATATTTATTCATGCCACCTACTAGATTACATGAGGTTTTATTCCTCTTACTATTCATGTTTTTGAAGAATAAAGGCTCTTCTAATTCAGTTCTTGTGCTAACTAGATTTCTGAAGCATAATTTTTGCAGGCTTTTGTTAATATGAGTAGGGCTCATTAAACAATATTAAAAGGACGTGACAATACAGCACTGGAACGCATATTTTGAGAAGTAGTTTCTTGAAAATGAGGCAAAAAAAATCATAATTTCCTTACAATGGCTTTTYATTTATGGTGGGTTTCTTGTATTGTATGGTGTATTATGAAGGAAATGAAAATTGGCTATGATTGAAAATTTAGTTCTGGCATTTCCACTTAATTGCATTTTAAAGAAAAAAACTCTCAGTGTACAAAATTCTTTATTCTGTAGAGACCTGTACAAYCTAAAAAAAAGTTAAATTAAGGCAATGCTTATTATGAAGAATATTCATTTTAACTTTTTCCTCCCAGCTCCMGTTATAGTCCCWGAAGATAYGGCAAAATGTTAAAGCTGTGAAATAACATTAAAATGCCATTTAATGTGTCAAGGGAAACTTTGTTTATTTTTTTTTCTCAGATAAAAAGATGTGAATAAAAGCTTTTTCTTTTGTAGTGCTCACAGGTTTTCAAGTAGATGGAGAGGGCTGTTGCTCGCAGCAGATTATACCAGATGCCAAGTTGCCTAGGGATATGTGCTTTGTTTGCTGGAGACAGGGCTTATTGTCTTTCCTCCAGGCATTAGGCTGAGTCTGTTAGACTATATTGGTAGTAATTTTTATCCTCTGAGTTAGTGGAGTGTCACGTGGTGCTATGTGACATTTTTAGGTAATGCATGAAGTATGATTTTTTTTTTTTTGTATTTTTTCTTGGATATGTAGTCGGTAAGCACTGTAGTAGATAACCACTGAAGTTTTGCAGAACYCTTAAATATTTACCACTAAAGAGGAGAGGGATTTCAGGTCTTGGAGATGATGTTGTGTTCTGTGCCTAAGAAATATACTAAATTAGCATTTCATCATAGTTCTTTACCCACAGAAATATTATCAAGGAAGAGATTAAAAGAATTGCATCTATATTACACACCTTAGCATGCAAGCAGAGGACCAATGAGGTTCTGTCTGAACATTTCCTGAAAGTCCCACTAAAACGAAATGAAATATTTTATAGATATTTGTGTCATTTATATTGGATACAGGGTAACAGTCATAATCTGCTTTCCTGTTATTTCTCACTTGTGTTTGTATAGGATACGTATTTCTTTCCTTTAAAATACYTCATTTTAGTGCAGCAACCAACACAACATATTTGGCAAAATGGGCAGTGATCTTTAATATTACAATTTGTGTGTTATTGTGAGCTTTCCTTTGAGCTGTAATTTGTGAATAGATTTGTCCATATTACATGTGTGAAGTGAATGAAAATTGTGAGCAGTGGAACTGTGTGTGGCACTAGTCTGAGTTGGGGATTTTTGGYTAAAATTGCCTTTGCTGGAGATTGAAAGATACTCACATAGCCTCCCTGTACTTGCTGAACATCACTTTCTTTAGTGCATTCAGGTTCGAGACAGCTCAAGCAAGCTGAAGTGTATTAAATTCTCTAAGTACTTGTGTATTTTGGATTTTTTTTTTCCGAAAAGTTTTGTGACATCTCTTAGCCTATTCCAACCGAACAGTAAACACTTGATGAGTTTATACATTGCTGTAGAAAAGATAGTTGWGCAAGGTTCCAGTTTGACAGGAGACTGCCAGGAGGTCGTGATACAACATGCAGCTGTGAAAGATTGTTCTTGGAGCAGCCCATAATATGTTACACTTAGCAAATCTGCTAAAATTATTCAGCACTTTTCTTCTTTCATGTTTTGCACATTGTAATGCAGTAGTCACGTTGGGTTAACGTGCTAAAAAGTGATCTTCAAAGTTTAATGAACACTAGCAGATTTTGCGTGCAGCGGCTGATTCTGTGCAGGCCTTCCATTGGTTTGGAGACTGAGTGCTGGCTTGATACTCTCTGTTGAATTCAAAGAGAGTAGAAATGCTAATGAAGTGAACAGTGTTAATCATTTAACCTTAAGTGTTTTGATTTCCTGCTTGATGCTAAGGTAGTATTAAAGCTAAAGAATTACGTAATTTAATATCCAGAGAAATGTTCCTCTGCCAGAGGCAAGCACTTAAAGGTTGGAAGTRCCTAATATACTTTCATACTTAAACATTTTAAAGTAACTGCATATTTTAAAGTAAATAAACATTTTTAGTAAACGTCAGAAGACTGATGTAATGGGTCAGTTTTGACTAGTGCTGCATAAATGGGTTTGTTCTGAGCCGGAGGTTCCTGCCTGCATAGGCTGTCCCTCTGTCCCTTGCATGCTGCGTAACTTCTTGAATCAACGTTAATAACTCTGTCCCATCTTTCTTGGCCAGTTTCTCTTCTACCATTGTGGCACTTAAAAGTTAGGTGCACTTGATTAGGGCTTTCAAGGCTGAGTTTTTGTCTAAGATAGGCAGTGGTTGTGGTCTCAGTAGATACTTCTCAAACTGAACCACATGTGCTGTAGCTTCATGTGGAGTTCTTTGGGTGTCTTTGGTTTCTCAGGTTTGTATATATACAAGTTGCTTCTGATTTGGGGAGGTTTTAATTGTAGTTGCTTCTGTTGCCACATGCATAATATGACTATATTGAAGTTGAAAACGATAATTTTCAAAAAATATTAACATACTATTTGTCCTTCTTTAGGAAAGCCCAAGAAGGGAAGAAGAAAGTTGTTCTAGCAGGCTGTGTACCACAGGCCCAACCTCGCCAGGAGTACCTGAAAGGCTTGAGTATTATAGGGGTATGTATCTTTTGAAATCAAAGGTTTTTGTAAATGTTTTCAATAGGTCGATATCAAAATCTAGACTTTGTTGCCTTTCTCTTGGAAAAAGCAGCAGAAAAGGTTCCTGCCATGTCCCCCTCCTGTTCATCTTCTTGCATGATACAACAATTAAACTTTCCTTCAGCTGAGGGTGTTTTGCTTTGGTTGTAGCATGAGAGGAGAAAGAAAGGGGTGCTGTTGTTGGAAGTGACTTCCAGTGCCCTTTGTAGCCTGAGAATTTCTAGGCTTCATCCAGGATGAAGGTATYAATTACCATATTCTTAAAAATATCACAGTTTATTTGCTCTGAGACAGGCCTTAAGACCTTTGTTAAAATCAGTGKGAGTAGGGGCCTATAGCATATAAATTACACAGACACAGCTGAAGGTTTGGTGGTTGTTTTTTTAATTTCAGATTATGAATACAGTGGCAAATAACAATGATTATTTTGTTTAAATTTGAGGCAGTCTGAAGAGTTRAATCCACTGGTGACTGAGTTGTTAAACAGTTACCAAGCTTTACCTTGAAAATGAAACCACAGAGCTTTGACTTCAGTTAATGAAGAGCCTTCAGTACTCTTTGGGATGCAGTTMTGTATCATTGAATCACATTTGCAAAAGGAAAAAGTAAAATTGGTGAATGGATTTCCTCTTGGTTTAGACCCCAGTGAATATRACAATAGCTACACAAATGTAGGTGGAGGGGAAAAAGTGATCAAGTCACTGTCCTTTGACCAAGATTGTAATTTGATATTTCAGTTTTGATGAATTTAACCTACTGAAATTGAGGGGCTTGAATTTTGATTATTTATTTTTTAAAACATTTTTTTCCCCTAATTTTTAGAATTTTTTTTTGAGTAACATGTAATTTCTGAAAATTGACCTCTTTTCATCATCTTCATTTGAGTACCTAGAAACCAGTGTTTGGTAACAATATTTGTAGTTTTGTATTTGTTACAGAAAGATTTCTGTTAGGAGATGAATTAGGCTGTTAATGCAGTGTTCGCAGGTACTTTGTAACTAGATCTGAAAACACTGAATTGTGGTGTTTGCTATAAAGACACTGTCCTCTAGCTGTCATTGCTCTGATGAAATTTACTGTGCTTTAAATAAGAGATCCCTCAGCTCAGAAAGGTCTTAAATTTGAGGCCTATTAACAAAGACAAAGCTAAGGGCRCATATTACCCATGTTTTCAGTTTGTACATTTAAGATTTCTTCCCATTTTACAAAGAATGTGTGAGAGGGTGACTGAAGGATAAGACTTGTTATCTTAGTGTTGCAAACTGTTTTTGAAAGGCAGTTTTTGCACAATTGAAAAACAGAAAATGTTCTGTTGGCAATAGAATATTGAGTTGACTTTAAAATTTTAAGCATTAAGAGTACAGTTTTGCAAATTTTTCTTTAATACTGGGTTGGTCTCATCTTCAACTTGGCTGAGAGACATAGCTGGTTTATTGTTACTTATGTAAGTTCGCTTCCCTCTCCCCCCCTTTTCTCTTTTTGAAAATTTATTTTAGAGGACWGTGTTTCTGAGGATGTGGTTATTTACCAGCAATTACAAGTCCCTCGGGTGGCTTTCTGAAGGCAGTGTGTCAGAGGCTCTTCTGCTCCTCCTGTTATGAGGAAGAGGTAGTTGCAATGTAGCTACCAGAGAAATGCTGCTAAATCAGAGCTTGTTTTGATAATTTGAGAAAYACAGGACTGAACTTCCACTGTTGTTTATTAATTGCCTGATTTGGGCAGAAATAAAGGAAGGGCAACTTTATATCCTACTACCATTTGTGATGTTACTGTGCTTTTGGTTTCCTTTTAAGTAATTGCCACTTTGTAAAAATAATGTGGGTTGGGGCGTTGCCATAGGCTGTGTGTAACGCAAACCATAACGTAACACGACAAGGTGAAGGAGCTCTTTTCTGCAGCAGGAGAATTTGAGATAGTAATAAACCTGCCAAGGGTGAAAAGTACCTGAGGCACRTAATGATACATTACAGAGGTTCAYAGCCGGTTACCCTCAGGTGGTTTCCAAAGCTCACTCCTTTGTGTTTGTGTTCACTTCAAACTCAAGCACACAGGCAAGTGCAAAGAGACATCAAMCCTCCTATGTAGAGTTAGCCCTCACTTTTCATTTTAAGTTGCCAAAAAGTAGGATGTGTGACTTTGTGCTGATTGTTTTGAGGGGATTATAGGGAAAGGAAAATGAGRGACAAGGGAGAATGAAAGATGTAGCTAACAGTTTTGGAATTCACAAATGAATGTAGGTAGTTGTAGTGTTTCTTCATTTTCTGAGTTGCATAAAAGAACATGTAAAAGCCTTGTTTCCAGGGCAGCCAAGCCATTGGAATGAGATATTTTATTTCATTGACATCTGTCTGGAGTTCTAAGATACTTGATCTGCAAGTGATGCTGTGTGGTGGAACCCCTGGCCAGGTTGCTGGGTGTTTGTAGGTCCTGAGAGGCTTCACAAGCCCTGTGTATCTGTACTTTGAAACCAACAAACTTGCTGTATGTGCAGAAAGCATGGGGCTTATGCAGGTATTGCATTAAAGGCACACCATGCTCCACAAGCGAGTGAATCCTGAATGAGAGAACTCCAATTCTCTTTCCTTCCCTGTATTTCCCAGTGTAAAATCTAGCATTAAACACCTAGCRCCTTCTGCCATACATCCATCACCCAAGGGAAGAGTTTCAGCCCTTTCTTTCATCTGAACAAACCCACAAAAAAAATCCAGTGTTGCTAAGGCKGTAACCCCCTTTGCTGCTACTCTCYGAGTCAGAAGGKGCAGGTCCTGTGCATGGCAGGATACTCTTGGCTCTTTGGCCAAGGTGAGCCTGACTCCACTGTGTCCATAGCCATGAAAAGCCCTCTGCCAAGCCTGCTTGCATTCTCCTGACCTCCAACTAACCCTTTTCCCTGGCTGTTCTACTKTATAAGGCAAGTTTTAAGCAATTTTCATATCCAGTTTGAAACTCTGGAATGTGGTTAGTGGGAGTGCTGAACGCTCCCAGTAGCAACATGTAACACTAGGAGCACTGCTGTAAAATAAATGGTGCAATATAAAAAATGTTAAGTGCATTACAAAAACCAGGCACTTTATTTCTCAGGCTCTGCATCTGTAATTGGTGTACACTTTTAAGTCTGATGTACCTTATTCCTTCATTTGTAGAATATGCCAGTGAGCTGAGCTTTAGCAGTGCCATTGTGAAAGGAGATCAGTAGAACCTTACCAAATGTCTGTACATCCCTACTGCTTTGGTCTCATGAATGAGGAACATACATTGTATGGTATTTCTGTGGTTGAGTTCATAAAAGTTTCAGTGATGTTTGCAAAACAGAGATAATGATACTTGCCTACCTTCYGGTGTTTATAAGGCCAGACTGCATTTAAGACTGCAAGCTTTTGTGCTGCCCTAAAAACAGAACCTTGCATAATTGCAAATATCCAATGTGTACTTCATGAAAGACAAATTTGATGGAATTTTACTCTGAATTATTTGAATTAGCAGAGCTTCTTGGAAAACATGCTGAAAACCTGGGAACAGGTGCACACTGTTGTTCTGTAACTTATGACTAAGAATGATTCCATCMAAATTTCCAGGTCAGTCAGCATCTCTCAGCAGTTGGCTTTAGCTTTTGAATTCCCTTGTTGATATTCAGTTAGAACACTTGAACCTGGAAGGTCAAAAAAGAGTGTTCGTTAAGTACATGCGTTTAAACTGAAAATTGGATGTGCAAATAGAAACTGTTCATTTTTAACAGCTGATCCTATAAATCAAAGGGTGTAAAAAAGAATTATTCTTCAGCTGTGTCAGTGTTTAGCAATGAAGATCACTTGTTTATGTGCTTCTGTGGRTTAGTCTCCTTCCTTTTAAAGTGTTTGTAGATCCTCTTCTCAGAAGACCTTCCTAAGCCAGAGTGTAGCCCATTACTATGGTCACTATTGTCAGCAAAGGTTTTAAACAGAGATGTTATTCCTCTGAAGCCCRGGGTGGCTAGTCACATGCCTTTTGAAGTTATGTATTAAAGCCTCAATTTATGTTGCCTAAGTGCTGTAATTTGAGAGTCTGTTTTGCGCAGCTCTCTTTATGGTCAATGAAGATAATTATCTCTAAAATAATTTAGATTTTTAGWAGACCTGAAGAGCCTTTTGAAGCCTTGTATTTCCCTTTTACTGGCTTTAGAGAGGGGATAGGCTGAGTAGWCTTTTTAATGTCCAGCATTTGGCAAAGCTGCCTAAACAAGGTGAGATGAAAGTACGATTTGGTGAACTGGAGTTAAAATCTTTAGGATTACAAATATCATGTTTAATTACCTCAGATAGAGTATTTTATCTATGTAGTGATCATTTTGTTTCTTAACTATTTAAATGAGAATCAGTGTATGGGGTTTTTCCTAGATGAGAAAAACAAGATTGTTTTACTTCAGGTAGCTATGTATAGATGCTCACTCCTAGGGTGCTCATATTGGATCTTAGGAAAAMWTTCTTTATRGAAAGGGTRGTCATGCATTGGACCAGGCCACTCAGGGAAGTRGTTGAGTCATCATCCCTGGAGGTGTTTGAAASTAATGTAGATGTGGTGCWTAGGGATATGRTTTAGTGGTGGGCTTRGYGATGCTGGGTTATTAYGGATACATRTGATTGCTGAGCTGCACTTACRTGTAGCTYTGATCCCACCAGGAAGGGTCAAATATTTTTCCTGGTCTTTGTTTCAACTCAGCCTTCATGCTGAGAGTACAACTCTCTTTTTCCTTGTTTTATCACCTGGCAATTTCCTGCTTTGGCTACTCTTTCAAGGGTTCATGGGCCCTTGCCTGCACTCTTGTCCCATGTCAATCTCAGCCCAGATTTMTGCATCAGCCCTGATTTGTGGTGATGAGTGTTTTGTTATCATTTTGGTTGTTTTGTTTTTTTTTGTTTTTGTTTTTTTTAATATAGTTCTACTAAGCTGTCTGCTCTGGTCTGTCTGTAGCTCTTGCTCTTTCCAACTCCTAATGGAGAATAACTTGTAATGAGCATTAAGTCCAAAATGTCCTTAACTATGTCCCACAAGACCAGTGGAGCCAAGTGGGATTCCCTAACCATACCCAGCAGTGGTGACCTGCTCTCAGTCCTGGGGCTTGGTTTATTGAGACACTCCGCAAATAAATGTTGAGGAATGGTGTTATTTCCTTTCATACACCGCCAAGATGTCTCTGTGCTTCATGGACTTCCTGATGGAGACATTGTTGGAACTCTGAAGGTTTCCATTTATATTTGATGTCACTTCAGACCAGAATTATCTATAAGGTTAGTGAGATGTTGTCTCGATAATGTAAATGTTTCCTCTGAAGTGAAAAAATTGATCRTTTTTCCCCACCAATATGAAATAGATGTTTGGGCAAAAGTGAAGARAAAAATAAAGTAGTTTATTAACAAAACAYGGTGCCCACAGGACACAGATRAAAAGTAACTCTTAGATGTTTARAAGTCCAGGAACWCATGCGGCTCCTGCCCCCCACAGCCGCTCGGCCACATGGTGTGGAGAAAGATGGCATGGCCCCTGTCCCTGGGAAAAAGAAACAAAAGAAAAAGACCATGTGGCACTCCGGCAACAGTGGAAAACCTCATGATAGTCCTCTTTTCATYGTGGATGAAACAGGGCTCGGTGTGCTTTTCTGTCACTGGCTCGGCTTCTTYCAGAGTCTGGGATGAGACAGAGTGGCGTGGCTTGTCCCCRCCGGCCGCYGAATTGCTCCAGAAGAAAAATCACARSAGCCCTCAGAGAGGGTGGCAGTCCAGGGAAAGCTGTTTGCCCAAGCTAACCCRACCTAGCTAAATGGCAMCAATGTAACTCCCCTGCACRCAGTGAGCAGGACTCCTGCAGCGCTGAGCTGAGGYCCAAAAGTACCTGGCAGCRTGGCAGCCCGGCTTTTAAGTGCCTGCACTGCCTTCCCAGYMACCCCTGCCCCTTCTTCYGGGTTGCATTTAAAGGCACAGGCACCTTTTGGGCATACAAGCTGATGGAATATAGGMATACAGGATKGGCACAAAATCAACCCAAGACAGCTGTGAGGAAAACAATCCAGCAGACCTTTATATAACAAGAAAATTTCATTACTATGACTTTGTCTTTTTTTTTCCCTTTTTCATTTCTCCTCGCTTTTTTTCCAAACAAGAATCTTCTAAACCTTTCTCTCTTCTCAGTTCAGATTACCTTGGATAAGATACTTTTATCTTCATAAATGCAGACTGGAAGTATTCCACATTTTCTTCCTGAGTATTTGGGGCTTTAGCCAAATAATTTCCAGTAATTTCAAATGAAAAATATTTAATGTGGGAAATAACAYGTAAGGCAGAACAAACATCCATTTYTAGGTGCAGATCTCATTATCTCTCAGACCTATAATTTTAATTACTYCCATGAGCCATCTTTTTGACAGACRTATTGAGAATAATTTAATTTATTTSATRAAATGAAGATGCAATATAATGGTTGGTGGGTTTTTCTGTCTTATTCAACAGGGGATTKGGAGCAATGCAAAAATTCCTCACATGCACAGTGCAGAAAGTAATAGGTGGCTCAAGTTATGAACCACCCAGGTTTCTCATACTTTAAATTATTGAATTGGTTGTGAACTTAAACAGGCTGGTATGGAGACACATTGCAATAATGTTTCAGGTAATGTAACACAGACTTTGTTCCATGACTTGTTGTAGTTGCAAATGTATACACTTCTGTTTTCTAGTGGAATTTTTCTATGTATTTTTTTAACATTCAGTAGAAAACATATAAGTTAAATATCTTGGGTCATGATTTTTAAAACTGTATCCAAAATGGATGTGTACACAAGCATGTAAATAAGCATATGATCCATACAACCACTTATGTATGCTTTCTTTACAAGCTGATTGCTAGATATGTCAGTATGTCTATAATGTAAATGTTTGAGAAATGTGATTTCAAAAATTATTTAAATATATTTGTTTTTCAGTGAATTATTAAGAGGCAGATATTAGCGATAATATAACAGTTTCTAGAATTCATAACTAATATACTGTATTTAAAAATCTGAAGTGGTGGGCATTCATATTTTAAAAAGGCTGTATTTCAAAAAGTTTAAAAAAAAGAAAAAACTTTTATGTGTAGTTGATCCAGCACATAGGCAAGGAAAGGAACTGACTCCCAGTGACTTCATTTGAGAATTTAAGATCAGACTCCAACTGTATGTGAGCTTTCTTTTAAATTCTATTGGACAGATTGGAAAAATGAATGTGAAGTAGACAAGATTGTGCAATCTTGTATTTGCAGGAAATGCCAAACTTAGTGGTAAATGCCAAATTTTAGGGTACAGAGACTTAATGGTTTTGATACAAGGGATCCAGGTTCCAGGCTCTTTCTTGCAGACCAGGTTCTTGAAGCTTCTGTAGTTTGTGCTTTTCTGCTTGTTTTGRAAACAGGCTGGAAAAGAAAATCCAAGGAAAAGACTGCAAAAGTTGTACTAAATCTAGTTCATATAATGTTCAGCTTAGAGAAGCAGTGTTTAAAAAGGAATATTGTGGAAAAACTGCAAACCATTTAAATGTGACAAGTTGGTTTTCCTACTTTGTATGTAAATATCTGCAGTAGACATTACACAGAATAGGGGGTTTGGATGAAAGCTCTGGGAAGAATCTCAGTTTCAAGAATTCCTGGGTGTTTAATTTCCCAGTGTTAATGTTGATTCCTTCTGCTTTGTTTGCCAAAATCTCTACAGTGTGTTGGCTATTGAACTTAAATAAAGACTAATGTATCTAATAAGAAATAATTGAGCTAGTTTTCTTATTATTGGTGAATTTTGGCAAGTRTAACACTAAACCATAAATCTGTTGTTGTCATTGCAGATGCTATGTGATGGTCATTAAATGTTATTCTGTCTTGTGAAAAGCATGAGGGCTTTTCTTYCCATTTCCAAATACAGCCTGCATTAAGTTCTGGAGAATGTCTTGTTCCCTTAAACTCCACAACAGTATTTTTAATTTCTTTGTATGTTCCAGTGTCTTTTCCTTGCAGTACCTCCTTAATTTTCTCCCCTATAGTCTGCCCTGAAAATATCCTCAGGTTTTTGTTGCGTTCCCCACCATCTGCTGTTTTGCTGGGATGAGGGAGCACTTTGGGACTGTCTGAGCCACCCAGGTGCTGAGTGTYTGGGTGACCATTGCCTGTTACAGACTATGAGCAGAACTTAAGGCCTGAACTCCTTTGACTCAGCTGTTTGGTGATTTTTGCAAAACTTACAGGAGAGTGCCATTTTTGAAGACAAAATTTGGTTTAAATTGGGTGGTGAAATTTTARGTTTCTTTTGGCAGATTGATCAAGGTGCAAGGAAAAAAAAACCTGKCTAAAAGCATAGCCCAAAATTCTTTACTTCCCCTTAATTCATAAGAAGACACTCTTGAAAGACTAGATAATATAAAAGTATGTCCACTTGTTGACTTCTTAGGTATTTACCTTCTGACTTTTTTTAGGTTCAGCAGATAGATCGTGTAGTAGAAGTTGTGGAGGAAACTATTAAAGGTAAGCATCACACTTGAACTAATTGCAGCTAGTCTGAAATGTGTAAGCATTAGCAGAAGTGCTGCTGGCGTCCTCTTTCTCAGCCTAACACTTTGCACTTTAGCTGGAAGTTTGGGCAGTGCTGTACTTTGTCATGTATGCTTTGTGTAAGTGATAATTTCAGAGATGTTTTCTGTCAGGAGCTCTGTGGGCTGTTGRTTTCGTAGGTAAATGATCAAGAGGAGACTTCAGGAAATCATTTCATCMGTGTAGGTTGGTGTAGAGTATTGTATAAAGCTCCTGCACTATCTTAATTGAGTGTTRCATTTCTACTTTCTTTTGTTTAATTCTCTGGTATTTTCTTCWTTTCCAATGTTTTGGCTTACTTCCCTGAGCGCTTCTCAGCAGGACAGATAAATTATCTACTGGTTTAATGTTCTTTTGTAACTGTGTTCCTTGTTCTCTCTGGCTTTCTTCATATGTGTGTACTCTTAGTACTTTGCAGTGAAAAAAACAGTGTGGTTTCTGCAGCCTGACCAGTAAACATTTGCTATTAAATAAATGTATTTGTCTGGGTCTTTCTGGGTTACCTAAGTTTGTCTCCATTACTTATCAGGTCATAAAAGTTGCTGTTCCTTGAAGCTTTAAATTATAAGGTTTCGTTTAATTGGCTGTGCCTTTAATATAAACAAGTATCTAGTCCACGAGACATTGTTGGTAACTGTAGTACTGGAGTGTGATTTTTTTTTTTTTTTTTTTTTTAAACTATAGCATGAAGATTTAAAGAAGTGCAAATTTTCAAAAGGAAGAAAAAGCTTCTATCTAGAAATTGTGTAGTGTGGGGTAAAGCTTCTAGAGCTTGTGCTTTGAAGGCTTAAGATTTCATGTTACTTTGATGCTTTCAGGAGTGAAACCTGTACTTTTATGTACTCCCAACCAAAACTTTTCCCAGTTTGTCCTTAACTTATGGTTCAGTTTTTMGGGGAGTGCAACCTACTTTACCCTACAGACAAAGAAGAATTACATTCAGCACATATTTGTCATTTAATAAGCCAAACTGTTTTCCCAGAATCATCATGGTGTTCATGACAATACGTTGGAAATGRGGATGCTTCATGATTTTTACAACACACAGTATTTCAGATCCCTATCTGCTTTTTTTCCTGAATTTTATTTGTTCTTAAGGGAGTAGGATGATAACCTGGGTCAGCATGCCCTCCCTTTACAAAAATGGGCTCTGTAATATTTATACTGACTTCAGATATTACTGCTTTTTCGATAACATAATTACTCAGGTTATGGTGACTGAATGTTGTATGACTAGAAAGAGTACAAATAATCTAGTAGCAGCTGTTAAAATAATGATTTTCACTGAATGRGTTTTTAGATTGCATTTTAAACATTGATATAATTCTGAAAAATAATGTTCATAGACATGTTAATGAACATTTAAACTTTAAAAAGTGTGAATTTTTGGAAAGAGTTTTGTTCCTTTCTAGCTTACTAGAAGTGATTTGAATTGGAAGGAGAAAGGCTGCTCAGTTCCATATGCACTGTCAGTTCCATCAGGGATTTATTTCCCAGAAGGTAATGGAACAGGATTTCTGGAGTTTTATTGGAAAAAAATGAACAGAAATCAGCTCCCTGGTTTGAGAGAGACATTGACATAGTGGAAAGAGTCCAACAGAGATGCTTAGGAGACTGAGACTGGAGCATTTCTCCTCACAGGAGAGGCTGAGAATGCTCAGGGAGGGGAATCACATTCAACTATACAAATACCTGAAGAGAGGGTGCAAAGAGAAGTGAGACACTTTTCAGTGGTGCCCACAGGCAGGACCAGAGACAGTGGGCACAAAAAAGCACAGGAGGTTCCCTCTGAACACCAGGAAATTCATTTTGACTGTGAGGATGGCCAAGCACTGGCTCAGGTTACTGAGGGAGGTAGTGGAGATTCTATCCCTGGATGTATTCAAATACTATGGACATGGTCTTGGAGAACTGGCTCTCAGTGGCTGTCCTTGAGGGAGAGGGCTGGAGAAAATGGTCTCCAGAGGTCTTTTCCAACTGTAAACCATCTGTGAAAGTAAAATTACAATTGGAAAGAGAAGCAACACATTGGCAGAGATCATAGCATATGATAATGGCTTACTTTTGTAAGAGCCAACCATAAAAACAGGTTTAATTTAAATTTATTTGAAGAAGCTGCATTAATTTATGCATTTGGGAATCATCTACTAGCAGAGAAGAATGTGAAGCTCTTTTTCACTCTGTTTAATGAAGATTCTAACTGTGAACTTTCATTATCCAAATTAAGTAAAATACTGTAGGTAACAGGAGTGTTGATTAAGATATTTTATTATATAAAGTAGATAYATGGTGGAAGATTAAATTATTATAAAATCAAATTAAATGCAACCCTTTGTTACCATGAGTCTACATGGTAAGTAATAGCTTCTGAAGCTGTTTATGCTTTCAGGAGATGGAGGTGATGTGGGACAGGGGATTAAATACAAAATCTGAATTCAGAGCCAGCTTACACTAGATTTTTAAGTTAGGTRTCTGTCACAGTTGAACTACACAATTGTTTTTCACCTTTTTTAAAAGAAAAGCTAAAGGTTGCTTGGGTASTATACTCATGTAGTGTGGTTATGTATATATTGAAAGTTTAAAAATGATTATATATTGCATGTTTAAAAAATGTTTGACTGAATAAGTGGAACTTCATAGTGTCTGCACTCAGCCTATAACTGAGTTGTCTGGATTTTCTGTCCAAATTCTAAGGTGGTTACCCTGTTGCCAGTTTTAAGTCCAAAAGTCTAGCTTTCACTGGCTTCCTATTTCTTAAGTAGTATATTAGTTTTTTCTTGAATTTTGAACTTTATGTTACACAGTTTACAGAAAGAGAAWGTATGTAGGAAGAATTTTTTCCTTATCTTTTTTTCCCTCCCAATAGTCATCTTTTTAGATTTTCATGAAAATGGCTCCCCTGTTGGATTTGGTTGAAAACTTGCTGTACTCCCAAAGAAAATAGAATTATTTAGAACTCTTTGTATGAAATATGAAAGGGTATCTTCTACCTTTATTTTTCAGTCTTAAGGGCATTGTCAGGAAAACCTTTTCAGAACAATGCCATTCTGCTGGGTCAAGAGATGGTCATTTCAGGAAATATGTCTTTGTGGTGCTCTTYACCGCATCTCTGTGAAGACAGTGTAATTGTTAGTGCCCAACTCTCCAATTATCAGATCATTCTGATAAACATTTTCTATGTGACTTTACGTTTTTTTCCTTCTTCATCAGAAAATGGAAAAGAAGGATGGGCATATTTATTGTTGCAYTAACAACCAAGAGAGAGAGAGACTTTTAAGAGGCTTAGTGATTTCTCATTTTTATGCCATCCTAACTTTTATCACAAGTGTTGAATTGAAACCTTGAAATTTCCTAATTATCAGGTAAATTATCAGGTAAATTGTTACTTCTGGAAGTGATCTTAAATAGCAGTGCTGTATTTGTATGCAGGTCATGTCTAATTAATATTTATACTGAGTCCCAAGATATATTTTAACTAGAAGTATCTTCATATGATATGGTAATTTATAATCTGAAACCTCTATACTACCTGTGAGGAACCAGACAAAAGAATTCATTGACAGTTTCAGAACTGTGTTTCTCAAAGTGACAGCCACAATTGTGTGGCCAGCGTGTCTCAGTCTTCCTGATAAACAGAATGGTTTTGTCATGCAAGGTTCTGATTTAACAGCTTGGTAAACCTTGCTTCATCTGCACATTGCCCAAATTTTAAGTCTGGATTACAGCAATTTTTACAACATTAGGGCACCCATTCCCGCTCATGTGCTTGGTTTTCCAGTAATGTGTTATGATGACATAACACAACATGACTAGCAAAGTATTGCTAAGGAGTTGTGGTGTTAGTGAGCTAGGTGAAAGCAGGGCTATAACTGATGTATGTTCCATCACTTAGTAAGATTCCTTTATAGAATAAGAAAGTTAATGTGAGATGATCAGYTTTTATAGTATGCGCCAGTAAGGTGAAGATTTGTCTTTGGTGGGAACTGTGGAATTCCTTATTGTGACTGTTCAAGTCAGCTTTTGATGAACCACTCTAAAATCTAGCTTTAAAAAAACCGCTGTGTGTGTATACAAGCTTGGCTATAAATAGTTTACAGTAGGCAAGAGAGTACATTTGTTCTGTATTTTAAAGGAGAAATGTTGACTGCTTAATGCAGAAATCCCTCTGCTTTGAATTTAGGTCTTCAGAGATTTAGGTCTTTCCCTCTTCCTTTCCAGACATGCTCTCAAATCCCATGTTATTAAGGGTTTGTGGGGGTGGGAGGCGTGGGACCAGTCTGCTTTTAGCTYAGGCCTTAGGGAGATGAGGGATGTGGGTTGAATTGAGTTTAGTCCATATTGTGTCTGTCTAATGCATTCCCAAAACATAGTTTTACAATGGGTCATTAGACTTGATTATAAAAAACAACCGAAGGAAATTACTTCAGGGTTGAGCCTTTTATACTTAACGTGACCTTTCTTGGTTTCAGTCACGTTGACCTGTCTGGTGAAGTTGCCCATCCATTCCYAATTTAAACATTAACCAGTATTTGCCAAACTGTTTAATTGTCCTCATGTGGTTAGCACTTACGAATTGATGATAGTTGCACTGTTTTGTCTGTATGAAAATGAGATAAATGGTACCTATATCATATATAGGCTAAAGTATGGAATTTATACTGGGTTGTCCACCTGAGAGTGTGTGTGTGTATGTATATGTGCATATATGAATCCCAGAATGTTGAATAGTATTTTTATGTGCTGCCTGATTTCACTATAATCTGCTGATAACAGCAGATTAAATAGTCTCTTTTCAGTTTCTGTGATTTTGAGAAGAATAGCCTTGAGTTAAGAAGCTGATGACAGGCCAAATGAAGACTGAAAATTGGAGGAGTCAGGACTTCCTATTTGAGGAAAAGTATCATTTGGCTTGCCGTCAGGAAACTGACTGTTTG